TTTGTTAGTTAAAGAAAAAGAAAATTCAGGCAAGATTATCAAAAGACAATTAAGGGACCAAGAACTTGGTTGCCTATTAAAGCTGAAATAATTGGGAAATGTGGAAAAGTGGAGATTTGCAGTGTCACTTTTGAGAAGCTCAGGAATCCACCACATCCTTCTTGCTCCACAGCAAAATTCCTTACACATCCATAGAAGGGTGGACGATGGCTCCACAGCTTGGCTTAGCCACTGCAGCTGAAGGTAGACACATACACTTCGCTGACAGATGGAACCTGACAGTCAACAGAAAGCACATTCCAATCTTCTCTTTTTGTGAAAACCTCCAAAGTGGGCAAACCGCCTCATGGAAGAGCAAAGCAGAGCTGAGCTCATGTTGCCTTGGTGGTCTAAAATCTCTGCCAAATGTATCTGTAAGTCCTCAGATGCTCCCATCTGAAGTTGTTTAATGACAATTTGCCATCTCTGCTGTTGATTTCCAACATGCAGTTCACAACTGGAACAGACAGACTCTGTTTGCTTTTACTGGCTAGCAGAGCTGTTTCCATGGGAAGCAGACCCCGATAGCAAAATAAAAGTAAAACCAAGTCTCCGTTTATCTAGTGTCCACAAATCTTCACAGAAGTAGCAATGAATTTAGAAGTACTTGATTTATTAAAACCATTAGTAGCTCAGTTGGAAGGTTTGATCTTTGCTAAAAAGCAAATAAAATAAGCAAAATAATGGCTTATAAAAACAAATAGGAAAAAAAAAGAGCTTGCCTAATCCAAAAACCTCATGACAAAATAAGACTTTCTAGTAGGATTATTTTGCATGAAAGGTCATGGTCATCCAAGTTATACTTAAAATCATTGTGTGTTTCCCTTGAATAGTAATAAAAATTTTTGACTTCTTTTTACAATTTTGTTCAAAGTCAGGACCCCTCCTGCAGACATGCTGTGCTGCAAAAAGGTACACCGCAGGCCACTGGTCCCTGACAAGGCCTGGCGTTTTCTATATTGGCCGAGAAGATGGATATGTTGATATCTGGGACCTTCTGGAAAAAACCCATGAACCAGCCCAGTCACAAAATATTTGTATAACTATGATCACCTACATCAAACCATGGACCTTTTCTGGTATGTTCATTCTACTTACATGAGCTAAGTTGTTTTAGAAGAGTTGGAAATATTTTAACATTTGTCATGAAAGCCTCGAATGTCTTTTCTCAGGGTTGCTTTTTCTTTCCGTCTCACCTTTCTCATCTCTTCCTTTCCTGTCCTGTCCTTTCCCTTCTCTTTCCAATCTTTCCCCGCTTCCCATCATTCCTCTGCTTCTCCATCTTGCTCACAAGTACAGCTTGAGCTTCACTCACCGTTCTGACTCATCAACAATGATGTCTAAGACAAGAAAAAGCTGAGTCTGATTTTGAAAAATATGGTGGAAGACACCCTGTCCATCTTCTCCGGGTGACAGGGTTAGCACTAAATCTTTGGTTTGTCTGTTTTTGTTGTTGTTGTTGTTTGTTTGTTTGTTTCCTGTTGCTTTTCCTGATTCAGTGTTGTTTCTTTAGCTCTTTCTTTTTTAAGTCCTATTTTTCTCTTTTTTTTTTTTTTTTTTTTTTTTTTTTTTTTTTTTTTTTTTTGCACTGGGAATTGAACTCAGGACCCTGTGCTTGCCAGGCAAGCGCTTATTCTACTGAGCTATCTCTCTGGCCCTTAAGTTCTATTTTTCATTATATCTCTTTTACGTCTCTTCCATGGCCATATCAAGTGATTTTCTTCATGAAATTGACTAATTCTCTGGGGTTACTGATCTTTAATCTTTAACCTTTGACCTAAGTAGTAGGAAAAAAAAGTATTATACAACATTACAAGCATAAATGCAAGGATATGTCTATGGAAAATAATTTTTTTCCTTTGCTCTTAACATTCCCATTTCAACCAAATAGTCTTTTCTGTGCAAATCCCATATGTTAACCTGCCCTAAACGAACTTTATTTTTTTCCCAAGAATTTATAGCCTTATCTCTCTCTCTCTCTCTCTCTCTCTCTCTCTCTCTCTCTCTCTCTCAGAACAGCAGATTTGGAAACTCAATCTTTACAGTCTGTAAGGTGTCACAGTCTAGTTACTGCTTAGCCATGTGTGTCACCAATTTTTTTTTTTCTCATCTTTGTTGTGAAACATTACTTCTGTACCTAGAGGGATTCAGTCTGGGATTCAGCAGTTTGAATCAGACTCTGAAAATGAGAGGAGAGGAAATTATAATTTTCTCTGATAAAAAAAAATTTTTTTCTCTGATGACAGAGGACATTAAGATGGTCAAGCATATTGTACAAGGGGTGGACAAAATATACTGCAAATGTTATAAAAATTTAGATTCACTCCAGAGAAAGTCACATTGCTAAGAACAATGGGATAGCAGAGGCTAAAATCATGAAGAGTATTTGGGGGACAGGTAATGGCAATGTGTCTTTTATTGTAATATATTATTTAATCATTCATTGTATTTTTTAATCACTGCTCATTGATCAAACATTTATAACAATTTCTGTCAAATAAAACATTAGTGTGTCTGCATCCACCTATAGACTGGATCTGGCACCAAGTGATTTCTGGCTCTTCCCCAGAGTCAAAATGACCATAAGAGCTAAATGTTTTGGAATGATTCAGGGCATCAAGGCAGCCTCAACAGCTCAACTCAAGACACCCCTGAGAGACTTCCAGCACTGCTTCAGAAAGTGGCAAGAACAGTGGGATTAGTGTGGTCAAAGCGAAGTGGGTGTATGAGAGTGAGGGTTGATGGCACTGTGTCTTAACTGTAAGAAACATGTTTTCTTTTTTATCACATCTCATATAGTTTACCCATTTTAAATGCTTCAAGTAAGTAATTTGTTTTTGTAAGAGGAAAACTGTGGCTGTGGCTATCTTTGAAACTCATCTGGATAAATGCTAGATTTTACTCCTTACTGCATTTGGCGAAAATGTGCTTTGTGAGTTGTCTCGGAAGCTTTCCATGTGCTCTTTCTGTTGTGCTCTCAGCCTGACCGGCAGGGCCAGCTACAGAGTCAGCCATCGGCCACATTCCTCATACAGACACCCGCAAAGCAAGATCGGAGGTGGTGGGAGGCTCACAAGGGCCCAGACTCTTAGCTTTGATCTCATCAACTGGAAAAAATGTCTTTTGCATGTTTATTTGGTCCAATCATGAACGTCTGATGAAGTTGCCAGGAGCACTATAACCACAGCGAGTCCTTTGGGAAACCAGAAAACAAAACACATTTCATGTTTAACCTCTTAAGATAGTTTCTGTTTGCTGAAATTTCCCCATTTTTTTTAATCTTTCAGCCAAGCAGCAGTTTATAGCCATAGCTGATTATTATGGGACACTGCATATATTAGAAATTCCTTGGACATTAAGTCACCCTTCCACCAATGAGGTCAGTGGCTTTTGACTTTGAGGATTTACATGATATTGTCAGGGCACATCTTAATTTTTTTTTTTTTTTTTT